CAGAAGTCATTTTTCATGCTACCTAATTATATAATATGATCACAATAATTTGGTTCATAATGGTAATAACTAAGCATATATTAATATATCGTTTTCTTCTTTACAGAATGCCTTCCAAATGTTTATTATAACCCTATCACCGAAAAACTACACATTATTTATAATGGTGGCCAATCGTGTTTTATTTAAAAACACTTAAGTAAGGTGTTAGGAAAACTACAGAATAATTTGCTTTTGGAAATTCTGACTTCTTGTCTCTACATCACAAAAATTGTGTCAGACATTTGGAAACATTGGCTGGTACTAAGGCAGTCATTGTGGACGTGGAGAGGAAAGCAAAAGACATGGATAGGAAAGAGGTAGAATCATCGGGCTCTAGTGGCTGAGCAGATGTGAGGAATCGGAGAGAAAGGAATCTAGACTAACTTCTGCGTGTCTGGTTTTGTTGACTCAGTTGATGCGGACTGCAGGAAGAAAAGGAGTGTGGGGCAGTGAGATTGTTGAGGCACAGAAGGTCTAAGGAGCCTGAGTCATTTGTCTGGGGAGGTCCTTCTGTGTCTGGAACTCAGCAAAGAGATGTGTTCTGGAGATGGAAGCTTGAGACCTCGCAGTAAACAGAAGAGGGTTAGAACTGTGGGCAAGTCAGTATTTGTTCCCGGCTGTTTGAGACTCGTTTAATGCATCTAAAATATAAGAGATGAGGTGGGTGCTTGGGAGCAATATGCGATAATTGTTTTACAGCTTTCCCAACCTTACACATCATCTTAATCATTTTGGCAAACAAACTGCGACAGCTGGTCATGGCATCTAGAACTTCCAGACGTATAGATTTATGTGCTTCAAAGGGTAAAGCAGGAATGCCTTTTGGTTTTATTTTAAACTGAAACCAAAATGTTAGCAAGGGGAAGAACTCTTATTCGACCCTTCCTTTTCCTTTAATTACAATGTTTACACAAATGTAGACGGAAAACTGATGAAAATAAGTTACAACAACTAGGAAATTTTACAGTTGTATCAAAGAAGAGATGGAGAGAGCCCAGCAGAACCACCGATATTTGAATCTAGAATGGTAAGCATGTGTGCTGTAAGTACCTCGTGCTAATTCTTTATAATTGAACATCTATGACTGTGTTCTGATTTGTATGCTATAGAGCTTAAAGTTAAAAGCCAAGGCTCCAGAATTAGACAAATTGAGGCTTGGATCTTGACTCCTCCACTTCCAAGCTGTGTGACCTTAGATGAGCTGTGTGACCCCTCTGAGCTTCAGTTTCCCTGTGTGTAAAATGAGTCATCCTTGATTTCCATTCTCTAATCCTTCCCCTAGTCATATATGAAACATGTCTTGTATCTGCTACCTTCTCTCCAGCCCCACTGCTAGGGGCCAAGATCAGGCTGGAGGAAATCTCAATAGCTTCCTAGTTGATGTCCCTACATTCAGTCTTGCTCTCTTGAAATCCATTCTTAATCCTATAGCCAGAGTGATTGTTTCAAATCAAAAACCTGATCATGTCACTTGACTATTTGAAAGTTTGCAGTATCTCTTCATTGCCGTTAGGCTTTACCACCCACCTTCCCTCCTCAGTGGGGCATCTACCAAAACCCTCCTCGCGCTCCCTCTGGCCTTTGGGTCTTTGTACAAATGGAAGACAATCTCCATCTCCACTCCATGCACTTTGACCACCTAACCCCCTTTTAAGAGTCTCTTTTCCCTGCCCACTTCCAAATTCAAGATTCATTTCCCTTCACAGGTGTTCCTGTCACACAATATACTTCTCTCCATTCCGTTTTCCTCATTATCTATTAAATTATTTAATAATTACTTATTGTAACACTTGGGTTTTATCAGGAAAATAGAAGCTTCTCTGTGTATTACAAGTTTTAAGATAAGAGAGTAAGGTTTACACAGACATTAGGAAAGAGAAAACCAGCAAGCCATTTTTTTTAATGTTTATTTATTTACTTTTGAGAGAGAGAGAGAGAGAAGTGGGGGTGGGGGGGCAGAGAGAGAGAGAAAGAGAGACATAATCCAAAGCAGGCTCCAGGCTCTGGCTCCAGGCTCTGAACTGTCAGCACGTGAACTGTGAGATCATGACCTGAGCTGAAGTCAGATGCTGAACCAACTGAACCACCCAGGTGCCCCAAACAAGCCATTGTTTTTTGTTTTTTGTTTTTTTTAATATTTTATTTATTTCTGCGAGAGAGAGAGAGAGAGAGGCAGTGTGAGCAGGGGAGGGTCAGAGAGAGAGGGAGACAAAGAATCCGAAGCAGGCTCCAGGCTCTGAGCTAGCCATCAGCACAGAGCCTGACATGGGGCTCAAACCCACGAACCGTGAGATCATGACCTGACACGAAGTCAGATGCTTAACCGACTAAGCCACCCAGGCGCCCCGCCATTGTTAATGTCCTCAAGAGCTCACCTGGGAAACCACAAAACTTGTGAGTCTATAAGGTGCTCCCACCAACTATTTCAGCCTGTCACACAGTATACAGTTCTCAAAAAGGCTGTCTGAAAGCTGTTCGGCCCTTGCACTTCTCCGTGCATCTGCTCACATCTGCCTCTGGAGAATAATGGTCTCCATCTTCCCCCTTTTCTTCCCTAATTGCCTCTCACGAGATGATCTCCCTTGAAACCCTATAGAGAAGATTCTAGGAAATTTAGCTACTGGCTTCTCTTCTACAAAGCATGAAGACACAGATGTCAGTGATGTTCAAGTTGACAACACAGTCTGGCACACTTGTCCTATGAAAGCAGTTCATTACAGTTATGTTAATGACATTCATGACATTGAACTGAATAGATATTTTGCTCGCTGGGCACCAATGCCCCTTTTCCTGTGAAATCACAAACACTAAATGGTAATGCATATTCAGTATGGTCCACACAATGAGAATTGCGACTGAAGCTGAGCTGTTTATGTACTTTCCTATGACTGGTAAGTGGATAGGTGAGTCACATCCCTGTGTCTTGCACACAACCCATGAAAACCAACAGGCCTCTGCAAACCTGGGGAAAAACAGGGCTGTCTTGCACTCCTAGAATTCATTCCTGGCAAAGGTGCTCTAAGTCAAAATGATGTAAGCTGAATCAGATTTTCCAGTAGAAACTAAGCCACATGCATTGCCAACAGCCAAATGACCAGCTTTTTATGGAAAATGATCACAAGTGCAACATCTAACTAAATGCAAATTATGTATCTGTACACCAGTCAGTACAAAACTTCACGAAATGTAGACACCAACTAGGCAATATAGAAGCCAATCACTGTAATATAAAAATCAATTAAACATTTAGTATCTTTTTAATGATTTTTATTATATTTGCCACAATGACTAGAAAGCAAAATTACATTTTTCTAGGGAATCTTTGGGTACATTCCCATAGGAATCTTTAAATGGAACTTTGAGGAGGGGTGCCTGAGTGGCTCAGTCTATTAAGTGTTTGACTCTTGATCTAGGCTCAGGTCACAATCTCACAGTCAGTAAGTTCAAGCCCTGCATCAGACTCTGCCCTGGCTGCATGGAGCCTGCTTGGGATTCTCTCTCTCTCCCTTTCTCTTTCTCCCTTTCCTTCTCTCTCTCTCTCTCCCTCTCTCTCTCTTTCTCTCTCTCCCTCTCAAAAATAAATAAATGAATAAACATTTTTTAAATGTTTATTTTTGAGAGAGACAGAAAAAGAGACAGAGAGAGAGAGACGGCACACGAGGAGGGGAGAGGCAGAGAAAGAGACACACGCAAAATCTGAAGCAGGCTCTAGGCTCTGAGCTGTCAGCATAGAGCCCAACACAGGGCTTAAACAGACAAACTGCAAGATCATGACCTGAGCTGAAGTTGGATGCTTAACTGACTGAGCCACCAGGCACCCCAAATGAATAAGCATTAAAAAAAAAAAAAAAAAAAAAAGAACTTTGAGGAAATAGAAGCTTTCAGAAATAAATCCAGGATGTCCATTCCTGCTGCCAAGTTGTTAGAGCACCTTTGCTTCCGGCCAGCCAGTGTACAAAGCAACAAATAATTGGCCACTTTGTACTGGAACTCTGTGTTTTGTTTTCTGAATGGCTGCCCATAAGCACAAGCCACTCCTTTATACCAGATCTTATGCAAGTCATGCTTTCTTTAAAAAAATTTCCTTTTGGGGCACCTGGGTGGCTCAGTAGGTTAAGTGTCCAACTTCAGCTCGGGTCTTGATCTCATGGTTTGTGGGTTCGAGCCCCGTGTCGGGCTCTGTGCTGACAGCTCAGAGTCTGGAGCCTGCTTCGGATTCTATGTCTCCCCTCTCTCTCTGACCCTCTCCTGCTCACTCTGTCTCTCTCTCTCTCTCTCTCAGAAATAAATAAAGCATTAAAAAAAATTTTTTTTAATTTCCTTTTAAGGCACACAACCTAAACTTGGCAGTGAAATTTCCACCATTCTCTCCTAGTCTATTGTTTCGCAGTGTCAAGAACTCTCCATTCCTGCCCTGGAATTATAGCCAGGCTTATTAATATACATCATTAGGCTGGTCCTGAGTCCAGAATTCATCCTTTTGCAGCTTTGGTTGAAGTGAAACCTCTAGGGGAGAAATGTGCTTTCCATTTTAAAAAGGGGGGAGGGTCTAAAAGAGGGAATAGTTAGAATATGTTTAAGTTAATGAGCTGCTTCTTTCATCCGTAAGCATACTGGAACATAGAGATCCCAATTCGTGGTAGGTTTCTAAAGTGGCTGCCTTGGTCGAAGCATTTTTGAATTGTAAGTTGTCTGTAGAATCGGTGTAGTCAGGGTGATGAATCTCCTTTGCTTTGTCTTCACAGGACAATTTTCATTTGGCCGCGGCCTTTCTTTTCTTCCCCTTTCTCTCTCCTCCCCTCCACCGTATCTGGGTGGGTCCAAGCTCGCTAGAGCCTAACGGGAGGGGTCTGTGTGTGTTCGGGTAAGTGCCAGGGGCAGGGGTGGTGGAGGCAGACCAAGGCAGCCAGGACAGGGGACAAGCCACAGAACAAGAGCACTGCACTGACAAACATTACCTTTGTGCTCCCCAAAGTCACCGACTAGGCAAGTTTCACAGTCTCCAGTAACTTCCATGTTCTCCTCTGAGAAATGAGTGGGCTGAACTAGGTAGCCCTTCTTCCCACTATAACATGCTTCAACTATGTGATGTGTATTGTCTGCCTGCTCAAAGAACACAGTGGCATAATTTACTGAGCCATTAAGGTATAAATATGTGCCACAGGCCAGTGTGACTATAGATAGAAAGAGCAAGTATAACACATCCATTTGAGTTCTAATCCCATACGCAGAAAGTGAAGATACTAGGTTTGATTGGACACATCCTGGGAAGGTATCGTGCAGGAAGTGGGATTTCCAGAGACAAGTGAATAATGAGAGAAACAAAGTCAGAGGAACAAAGTTTCCAGTTCAAGTGGTCACGTACTTTAAAGCTCTGGAAAATGTCGGTGCACATTAGATGATTAGATGAGCGTGCCCACTCCGCCTTCCATGCACCACCTCATCTCCTCCCCAGCTGCCATGTCATGTCAACCCTGTTCACTTCCACAATTCTCTCCAGCATGGTAACTTTTCTCACTGACTGGCATGACATAGTGATTTTTCCTGCTGAGTCCCATATGGAAACCCAAAGCCCTTACCCCATCCTAAATGTATCAGAGCCCCCGACCTGAGGCCAGGATGTAAGCAGTGTCAATATTGGACTCAATGCTCTTGAAGCGTGTCCAGGATTTGTTTCCCCATCATGAATTTGTGCTGTTTAATTTAGACTATAAATTCTTAGAAGAAAGGTGCCACGTCTGTTTATTTCATATGCTTTGGCTCTGAATTTGTCCACATAACAGGTTTTCTTTGGATTAAGTGTTGATGGAAAAGATGTCCTCAAACTTGATAAAGGTTGATCACAGTTCATACCATCCTTCAAAATTATGGCTGTTGACCTTCCTGCTGTAACACTTGGTGACCAAATGTAAGAGTGACCAAGGTCCCACGGACAGGGGCTGGAGTACTAGTGGCCGGTGCTGTGGCCCAGGGCTGTCCCCGGTGGTCCCATGTTTGAGCTACTCTTTCTGTTCTTTGTTTTCCTTTCCAAGAGAGGAAGTGTCAGGCTGTGCTCGTACGGGTCTTTCTCCCCAGATTTGGTTGTGCTTTGGAGATTCTTCAGGAAGGGATGAGCCAAATCACCTTTCCGGTCTGAGAGGCTGAGATTCCTTGAGATGCTTGTGGGTAGAAGAGAGACCAATAAGAGCCCCTATTTTGCAAGTGGAAAACACGAGATCCGGCAGGCACAAAAGAACTCATTCTGGGATAACAGCAAATATACGGGAGAGATGAAAATAGACCCCGTAACCCAATCGGCTGAGGATGGATGGTGGAGAGCTAGATAGAACCAGCAAAAGAGGCCGGAGTCGGGGCGCCTGGGTGGCTCAGTCGGTTGAGCGTCTGACTTTCGCTCAAGTCATGATCTCGCGGTTCGTGGGTTCGAGCCCCGCGTCGGGCTCTGTGCTGACTGCCAGCTCAGAGCCTGGAGCCTGTTTCAGAGTCTGTGACTCCCTCTCTCTCTGACCCTCCCCTGCTCACGCTGTCTCTCTCTCTCTCTCCTAGAAATAAATTAAAAAAAAAAAAAAGAAAGGAAAAGTAAATCCCAGATTGCATGTTCACATAACCCAAAGGAGGATCTCATTGATGTAAACAAAGTATACGTTTTTTCTCTAATTATGTTTTTATGTATGTTTCCTTTCTGGTGATCACGTCCATCCAGTTGATCACATGGTTCATGAAAGCCCAGCTTTAAGACAGATTCCTTGGCCTCCACTTCCAAAATTGGTGCCCCTAAGACCCTCTTCTGTAGAAAGTCTAGAGTCACCTCTGTAAGGAAAACATGTGGCACACTCTAGTGTTCTGGGCAGGGGGCGAGGGCTGTGCTCTTTGGAAGACTGTTTGGAAAACATTCACAGACACTCAAGATGATTGTGCCATTAGGACCAGGCTCTGAAAATCAGAGGGACTCGCCCTGCTCATGTCATTAAATAATAACCCCTAGTACTGACAGAAGCCCCCCAAAGCTGGTTGACAGAGCAGGAGTTATTATAAAATTCCCAGAGTGACCTCAAGATTCCTGCCTTGAAGAGCATAGCACCCGACTTGGCTCTCTATCCGACTTTCCTAATGGCATCTGTTCAGAAGAAGCTTTATTCTCTGTCCTGCCAATTAAGAGGGCATGTTGCCAGTTGGAAATTTACTCCCGGGTGCTAGGTAGTGAGAGACGCAGGGTCAGCTCATATTGTGTGTAAGCACTTTAGTACCTCGATTTACAACGTTTGGTGTCTTCAGGACAGAGGAGTGTTCTGTAAACCAAGCCCTTCTCACTTTGTCAGCTCTGTGTCAGTGTTTGCTGAGGCCTCAAGTCAAAGGCAAGTTGGAACAGTGTGGAGACTTTGGCAAAGGGCTTGCTCCCCCATCTCTAGCTCCCCATTCTAATGAAACGATTCGAGGGTGAGGTTGGCCCTAGGAATTATTTCTCTGACTCATATTCCCTTTGCGCTTTTCACACACTCAGAATGCAACTACTCTGAGTCCCTCATAGCCCTGGGCAGAGAGAGGCCAGGGTTCGGGCAAGACCTTCTTGGGGCCCACTCCCAAGGCTGAGAAGACAAACAGGGAGGCGTCTCTCCACGCTGATTTCTTTCAGCACCCCCAGCTATTTGGGGACACCATTGCCACACATTCTGTGAAGAAGCCACAGACTGGTTCTAGCTCTCAGAGGTGGGACTAGGCCTGCTTATGATTTTTTTTTTACACTTAAAAGTATTTAATGGAAATATTACAATAATTTTACATTTACTCTCATTGCTGAAACCATGAAGGAACATCCCTTTGGTAATCAAAGTCATAATAGTTTTTTGTTATGCAGAAAGGTATTTTTGTTATTACATTCCTAAGTAGAAACCAAAGCTGATAGAGAATTGAGCCAAGCAAGGAGGGATGCGGGCAGCTTGGCTTTGGCCTTTCTTGCTGGAAAGAGGAGCAGGAGGGCCCTGCAACTTCAGAGCTTTGGGCGAACACGAGAGACACAGACCCTGGCCCAGAAAAGCAGCGGACTCTGGAGGCATCTTGTTCCATGTTTTGTCTTTGATCATCTGACTCAGCAAACATTTCCTCTCCTGGCACAGAGGGAACAAAGATGATGTAGGCAAAGGATCCATTTTCAAGCAACTCACAGGTCAGTGGGGGAGGCATAGTCAGAACAGCTTCCCTGTGATGGGCAAGTGTCGAGGCAGCTTCATTCGCGGAGCACTGGTACACGGGCTGTAACACATCATGCACAGGCACACACGTAGGGGCACCAGACACACTCACTCAGAACACAAGCTCTGTGTCATTAAATATCCCCATTCATGACTGGAATAGCAGGAATAACACAGGTGGAGCGAGAGATGTTCTGGCAACACTGAGAAGGAGAGTTTGCACAAAAGCCACCTGTGTTCTGCCACTTTCTTGGAGGTGTTCCCACTCCTGAAATTGCACAAGCGCTGGCTCAGTCTGAAACAAAAAAGTGAGTGTACCAGGCCTGTAAAATACGCAGCACACTGCCTCCACGTGGCAGCTGTCCCATCCTCTCATGCTCCCTGGAGAATAGAGACGACAGGTCATCAGCTCTCCAGGACTCAGGATTCCCAAATTCTCTGCCCCACTCCTTGGCTGACCTTCTGTGACTTTGAACAAGCCTCTGCTTGACTATGCCTTCAGAGTTCTTTGAATAATGAAATGGGGAAGTGGGGTTTTATCAGAAAGCAAATTTGGAGTATATATTAAGATGATGAGGCCAGGTGATGTTCATTCATTGACTTGTTCTCTCATTATGTCTGCATTTCACAATGATATTTGGGTGTGTGCTATGTGTCAATATGTTGGCGCACAAGTCACGGATGTGCAGAAGACAAAGATGAATAAAATGTGCCTGCCTTTCAAGTAGTTTGCCCTCAGTGTGAGAGACCTAAAGTTGGCAGATTACTAACAGTCTGAGGAGGAAAGTGCTCTAATAAAAATATATCTGTAGAATTTCTGGCAACAAGCTCGCTTGCACTGACTTGGGCTTCCCCCCTTATTTCATCTACACATAGAAACTCTATCTAAACAAACAAACAAGAGAAGAAACTCAAACCCAGAGAAGGTGGAATGTGGGAGCTAATGTCATAATGGCTCAAGAGGTTCTTCAGGCCTGCATTTAGGCCCCGGAAACTGTGGACCCATATTTTTCATGTTTACACTGGTATAGGTTAAATGATCTTGAGCATCCATAAATTTGGAAACTACAATTGAATCCCCCCTCATGAAGTCCAGTGACCTAAAGGGCTTACCAACCCCTGGTAAAGGAGCTAGGAACACATCCATCAACTTTGGAAATGGCAAGGAGACTTGACATTCACTTGGGGCTCTGCCAGAGTCAAACAAACAAAACAAGCGACTCCAGGCCTGTGCCGTGTCATTGTGTGAGGTCTAGATGAATGCTATATATATAGATAGAGACCCCAAATCAAGACTTCAGCATAACATAAAACATACATTCTACACCATTGAAATCCCTGTGGCTCCAGTAGAAGCAATTGAAAAGTCATGTTGTAGAAGAACTAAAGCCAGAGTAGATAAGATTCCTCCAGAAGAAAAAAAGTTGTGCTAAAGATAAGCTCATAAAGAAAATTTATAAACCACATGAAGAAACAAACAACTATGGGGTGAGAGAGTGTATTGGTGTTCAGCACATGCAACAAACAGACTCAGCACCTCAAGAACTGGAATAATTACACAATTTGAAAAAGATTGTCATATATGGATGTTTAAACTGATCAGACAGATAAGAAATGGAAGCTATAATCACCGCAGAAGACAGTTTGGAAACATAAAAGTCAATTCAATAAATAAAGAACTACATAATATTCTTATGAGTGAAAAATACTGTCCCTGGAGCACCTGGATGGCTCAGTCAATTAAGTGTCCAACTTTGGCGTAGGTCATGATCCCACTGTTCACAAGTTCGAGCTCCACAATAGGCTCTGTGCAGACAGCTCGGAGCCTGG